GACACTGAGGGTTGCGATCCATTGCCGGACACGAAAAAAGACAAAAAGGAAAAAATAAATAAATAAATAATTCTCTTACATTTGTTGAACCACTCTTTTTAAAAACATTGATTATTTATATTTTACTTTGGTATTCTCAGTGCTCCATATCAATCACTCTCTTTCTTATCATTTAATATCTGTCTTTCTGCATTCCTAAAGAGCTACTCAAGTTTTAATCTCCACACCTGTGGTACAATTTTATGTCATCAGCACTATTCTTTCTGCCTGTCTGGTAACTTTTCATCCTAGTACTATGTTTTTAATTATTATGGTTAAAGTGCACTAATCTGCGAATTTGTTTATCTCTCCTGAAGTGTCCTCTAGCCTCGTGGCCTATTCTTGTCCCATTTGGCATTGTTTTGGACCCTGTTAATCCTACAGGTCATCACTATGATCTCATTAGATGATGTGGCACCCTCTTCTGGAGGAGCACCATTGTAGAGGGAGAGGGGTCAGATTAAACCACCATCCCCTCTTTCCTCCTCACCACCTAATCCACTCAGCCTTTCCCTCACTGGTAAGCAAGACTTGTCCAGTTATGTTTGCATTTATGCTGAAAGATGAGGAAAAACTTAGAAGAGAAATGTTATATTCCTAGTAAGCTTGCATTTTTTCCTGAGTGCATATATTTCACACTTTCCTATATCAAATCTTTCACTGTGTTGAGAATGCTCCTCCAACCACCTCCCTTGTTGGTCTACCTGCAACACTCTACCCTCTTCTACACAATTGCATGAGAAAATCACTTCTTGGTTAGAAGAGGGTGAGAATGGGGAAAGCAAGCCCTGCACCAGAGTGGAAACTAGCGCCAAAAGGAACAGCCCATCTTTTTTCTGAGTGAGCCAATCTTTTTTTCACATCATCAAAACCTTGCGTATGTGATAGTCAAAGCTGAGGAAGCTTTTCCCAAATGAGGAATAACTAGTGTCCATCTTTCCCATTACCCAAGATTCTCAATTTCCAGTGTCATTAAGAGGTTGAGTCTTTTCTGAAGCTTCACGGGCATGTTGCGAGAAGTTTGAAAAAGGCTGCTTTAAGGAGTGTATAGACACCTGCAAATTATTTCTTATGTCCTAGTTGTTCATGCAATGTTGTTATCTAGTGTCTTACTCCTCAGTATTTAATCTGAGAGTAAAATTGGGAACTGACGGTCTTCTTCCTGCAATGAGTTTTTCCAGAAATTAGTCTTTCACAAGTCCCTACCTCTTACCTCTTACTTAAAATTTCCACTAATGACAATCATTTGCATGATCAGGAAGAATGTTCTGAGATTCTGTCGTTTTAAATAATTCAGAAGACAGTACACAACAGCAGTGGGCCTCCCATCCTGGAGCTCTGTCTGGAGTTCAACAGGTGATGTGTATTTTTCATTGTTTCCCATAGGTTGTGACTGTGGGATATACGCAAGTAGATGAGAAATAGAATATTGCCCTCAGCAACAATTTGTGAGCATCCTCAACACCAGAATTATCTCACAACCACAGCAGCTAATACTAGATTAGCATTTAAATTTACTTAGCTTGTTCCTCTGCATATATAATGCGATGTGAGATCATCACAACAAACAATAAGATTCCTATGAATCTTAATTATAGATCAGGGACCTAACTCTAAGGTTTTAAATAACATACTTTAGGACACACTGCTAGCTAATAATGGAGCCAGTCCGCTTCTGCGCACTTACTGCTACATCACCCGCCTCTTTGCATGGTATAGTATCTTAGTGCACACAACAATGTCCAAGAATTCAAAAATTATATTGGCTTTTAAAGAATGTTGAAACTAATAAGAAATATTTTAAAATGTATTTTCTTATTTTCATTTTATATTCAACATGTGAATATACCACCCACAGCATGGATGCCCCACCACTGTCTGAGGCCCTAGATTGTTTCCTGTTGCCCTTTGGTCTGCAATGTTCTTCAGATACTTCATTCAGTCACCATCTCGAGGGCATAGGACTGAGGAACTAAATCAGGAAGATTTTGAGAGTAAAAGGGGGTGGGACCAATTTTAAACCCCTATAAAGCCTTTAAAACCCACAAAAACATAACATCAAGAAAAAAGTCATCAGCTGAAATGTACAAAAGGGATACTACAAAACAAAGGTCAGAATGAGCACATGTTAAATGTTAAGCAAACTGTCTTAAGCTTTCAACTGCAACTCAGTTCTACTCATAATACTTAGAAAACAATTTTGATCTCCTTGTACTGGTCCACGTGCCTTAAGGAACTGACCACTGACACCTCTCTGTGCCCCTCACGCACATGCTCTTTCTGAACCTATTTTTCTTTCCTGACTATTCCCAGCTCCTTTATGCTTTAGGGAGGTTACATATGCGATTCATTCTGTAAGAACACCTGTTCTTCACAATCTTCACGATGCTGTTCTTTTGTCATCCCTCATGTCTGTGTTAAAGTTTCCCCCATAGCACTTATCANTAAATGTATTTTCTTATTTTCATTGTAAATTCAACATGTGAATATACCACCCACAGCATGGATGCCCCACCACTGTCTGAGGCCCTAGATTGTTTCCTGTTTCCCTTTGGTCTGCAATGTTCTTCAGATACTTCATTCAGTCACCATCTCGAGGGCATAGGACTGAAGGACTAAATCAGGAAGATTTTGAGAGTGAAGGGAGCTGGGACCAATGTTAAACCCCTATCGAGCCTTTAAGACCCACAAAAATGTAACATCAAGAAAAAAATCATCGGCTGAAATGTACAAAAGGGATACTACAAAACAAAGGTCAGAATGAGCACATGTTAAATGTTAAGCAAACTGTCTTAAGTTTTCAACTGCAACTCAGTTCTACTGATAATACTTAGAAAATAATTTTGATCTCCTTGTACTGGTCCACGTGCCTTAAGAAACTGACCACTGACACCTCTCTGTGCCCCTCACGCACATGCTCTTTCTGAACCTATTTTTCTTTCCTGACTATTCCCAGCTCCTTTATGCTTTAGGGAGGTTACATATGCGATTCATTCTGTAAGAACACCTGTTCTTCACAATCTTCACGATGCTGTTCTTTTGTCATCCCTCATGTCTGTGTTAAAGTTTCCCCCATAGCACTTATCAGCATTATCCAAGACCACGGTCCCTATTTGTTGCTTGCTTACTCTGTTTCTCCCATAGCTAGAGTGTGAGTTACATAAGGCAGATTCTCTTTTACTACGGCATACCCAGAGCTTAGAACACTGAACAGAAGTATCTCTGTATAAAGTTTTGGTGTGTGAATGAATGAAAAATCAGCAAATGAGTAGAGGAACAAATGATGGTCAATGATCATATGGGTGAAGTGATCCTATTCCCTGCAGTTCACCGCAGATTTCATCTGTGTCTACAACTTAATGGTCCTTTCTAAATGACATTGATCAGCTTTTAAATTATCACAAAAGTTGGAGTATTTGGTTATATGAGTTGATTGAATCAATTGCCTTGCAGTTGAACCCATATTTAAACAAATGGAGCTAACTCTAAGTGAAGAATCCTTTCTAACTCCCTTAATTTCAGCATTAGTTTCCAAATATCCATCATCTTCATTGCAAAGGAACTTAACTTTCAAACTGCTCTCCAACAAGATGAAACAGCCAAGAAAGAAGCAGCTGCACTTCCACCCACCAAAAAATGCTTGATATTATTTACATAAATAATTTCAATTTAATAATGCTTATACAGACTTTTATATAACCCTCGGCACAGTGTTGTCAGCACCACGCTCAGCCAGTGAGCGCACTGGCCATCCCTATCTAGGATCTGAACCCGTGGCCTTGGCACTCCCAGCACCGCACTCACCAGAGTGAGTCACAGGGCCAGCCCTATACAGGCATTTTTAAATGATTCATTTTTCTCTTTCATGGTTTCATTAACCCCATACTTCTCGTCTTATGCCTCCAGGTAAAACTCAACACCATGGATGGAAACAACAGGACGTTCTCCAGTGACTTTACTCTCATGGGGCTCTTCACTCACAATAAAGCCTCAGGATTCCTTTTCAGTGTCATTTGTGCCATCTTCTTCCTGGCTATGACAGCTAATGGGATCCTGATCTTCCTCATCCACACAGACCCTCACCTCCACACCCCCATGTACTTCCTCCTCAGCCATCTCTCCTTCATCGACATGATGTACATGTCCACCATCATGCCTAAGATGCTGGCTGATTATCTTGTGGGCAAGAGGACCATCTCCTTCATTGCATGTACAGCCCAGTACTTTCTCTACATGGGCTTTGTCGGGGCTGAATTCTTCCTGCTGGGCCTCAGCCATCTCTCCTTCATCGACATGATGTACATGTCCACCATCATGCCTAAGATGCTGAGTGATTTTCTTGTGGGCAAGAAGACCATCTCCTTCATTGCATGTACAGCCCAGTACTTTCTCTACATGGGCTTTGTCGGGGCTGAATTCTTCCTGCTGGGGCTCATGGCTTATGACCGTTATGTGGCCATCTGCCACCCTCTCCACTACACTCTCCTCATGAACCAGCGGGTCTGCTGGGTGATCTTGGCCGGCTCTTGGTTCGGTGGTGCTTTGGACAGTTTCCTCCTCACCCCCATCACCATGAGTCTCCCATTCTGTGCCTCCCACAAGATCGATCACTTTTTCTGTGAGGCACCCACCATGCTGAGGCTGGCCTGTGGTGACAAAGCCGCCTATGAAATGGTGATGTACCTTTGTTGTGTCTTAATGCTGCTCATCCCCTTCTCTGTGGTGATTGCATCCTATGCCCAGATCCTTATCACGGTGAGTCAGATGAAGTCGGTGGAAGGGAAGAAGAAGACCTTTGCCACCTGCTCGTCACACATGATGGTGGTGGCATTGTTCTATGGGGCTGCTTTATACACGTATATGCTTCCCCAATCCTACCACACTCCAATNCCTCGCTCAGCCAGTGAGCGGGAACTGGTCTGTATGTGGGATCCGAACCCTCGGCGGGAGCGCCTCCGCGCTTCCCAAGCGGCGCACTAGCACAGTGCGCCACCGGGCCGGCCCCAGTAATCACTTTTCAATGTCTTTTCCAATCCATTAGGATTATTAGACTTCTAGAATTCCTCTGCATATGTTAGTGCTGGCAGGGATTTTCTATCAACCTTTTTCTTCCAAAAGAATAGTGAACAGCACATTTTTCCTTCTCCACAAGGCTAGGTTTTGAATTAGGTGATATCATATAAATTAAGAAGAAAAAAACAGCTTTTCATTTGAAAGTCAGAGTTGGAAAAACCTTTGTAAATGACTTAGTATCATTTCTCTTGAGCAAGCTGAGACCTGCAGAAAAATTTTTGGCCTAAACCATAGACCCAGTACTAAAAACTGGGACCATATGCCAGGCCCGTTGGCCCACCTCTGTATGCATGGTAACCTGCCAGGCTTTGTGCTGTCACCAGTTTGACAAAATCCAGGCTGGATTCAGTGGTGTTCTGCTCACAGACACTGGTGAAGGTAGGTGAACTAAACACAGCCACTCCTCCTGTTTCAGGAAAAAAAGGTGCTGTGTGTTAGACAAAATCTTTAGCCAAATGGAGCATTTCACCTTGGAACACTGTAGTTAAATGCTGCTATCTATTTGGACAGGATTATCAGTTGCAAACCAGTGTCAGTCTTGTGGAGGCTCTCTATCCGGAGGATCTCTGTTGGTCTCTCGCCACCGCCTCGTTACCGGGGACCAAAAACACAGGGCGGGAGGAGGGATCCCGGACCAGCCGGCGATAACCTCCTGTGGGGCTGAGCGGGATGGTGAGCGCTTCGGCCTGGGGGCAAAGAAAGAGACACAGAGCCTGGAGAGCGGTCAAAGCCGGAACTCTGTTTATTGCAAGGGGACAGGAGCTTATATAGAGAGGACAGGGTGGGGGAGCCGTCACCCAATCAGGGGCGGCCACGCCGTGGAGGGACGGGAGAAAGTAGGGCAGGAAAAAAGTGCAGAGTCATAGAACCCCGGAAAAGGGAGTAGTTAGGTACGTGCACTTTGGCCCACATGAAATGGCAGCGGCGAGCTTGCGGCTTGCACGCAACATGGCTGCCGCCCTGCCCCCGCCAAGAA